TCATAGTTCAAGGCCTATCAGCCAGGCCAGAGGCAGCTGCAGGACAGGATGCTGCCATACAGCACGTGCTCTCTCCAGTGAGTGGATGCAGCTTGTGAAAGAGCTAAAATATTCAATGGAAGGGGGGGAGGCTAAATCCTGATGCTGGGCCTGCAGCCCTTAGGAACCCGGAGAGCGCTGGCTACGTGACCTCCGGATGAGCGTGTGCAGCTGGACAGTTAGACTCCCTTCCCAATTTCCACATAGAGCAGGTCTCTCTATGTTGCCCTAGCTAGCCTCAATCTGCCTGCCTCAGCCTCCCAAATAGGTGGGACTACTGGCATCTACTGGCATGTGTCATGGTGCCAACACAAGCTTTTTGTTTGTTTGTTTTTGTTTTTTTTTTTGAGAATATGTATGCCAACCCATGCAAGACTCACTTCTTACTGGGGAAAACTTTACAGAAGCAGAAATCATAACACCATGGGGTTAGCTTAGTGATATAAGAGAGAGGGTCAGGATTGGGCTGTTCTTGGAAAAGGTAGGGAAAATATGCCACAGATAAAAGACTTGATTTTGGAATTAGGGAGACTCAACCTAAAAATGATTTTTGGTCACAAATGATAGAAGACCCAAATCAAGCAATCTTGAAAAAATGAAATTAAATTTCTCATGTGAGTCAAAGTTCAAAGGAAGGGTGGCTTACCATTGTCTTACCATGAGGGTCACCGTGTCTTCATGGATGGAATTCCGTTTCTCTTGCCCTCTATGAGTCAACTTCTTTCATAGGTTGACTTCCCTCATGGGAACAAAATAGCTGCCGCAGAACCAGACCTAACATCCACACACCAAACTGCCCAGATGACCTAGCATTCCCAGCAAGGGAATGCTGAGCTTCACTCTGTTGGCCTGGCTTAGGTCACGAGCCTACTCCTTGTCTAGTTGGCTGTGGCCAGGGGCATGGAGTGTACTGCCATTTTTAGGGAGGTCCAGCTCCAGTCCAGGAACCAAGGATGGCATCGGATGTTTGGAATGGAGAGAAGAGATGAATGCAGTCAGTGTATACCTGCCACCCGCAGGAAGCAGAATGCCCAGTGGGGCTTGTGAAAACCTCCTGTGGGAAATGTTGTGACCAAGTGGATAGAAAAGGATCCCAGCTTTTGAAAACCGAGAAGCAAAAACCTATCCTTCAGGGAAAGAAAAGTCAACCCTCATCATACCTAGCTTCTGGAATACATTAGCAAGAGCCTCACCGGGCTTGGCTAGAGGCTCCTCTCATCTGAGGAGAGGAGCACTTGGGATAGTTGATGTTATGCTGCAGTAACAAACAACCCCCACATCTCACTGATGCTCCTGCATGTGAAGACTGGGGATCCTGGGCAAAAGGGATCTCACCAACGTGCAACTGCGCTCTCTGGAGCATATAGCACCCCCAAACCAGAATACAAGGGGAGAACCACTGGAGGGCCCAGCCCTACAGTAACTCCGGTGCCTCCTGAGAGTGATGCTCTGCACTTTTGCCCACGTTTTATTGACCAAAGCAAGTCCCATGCCACACCTCGCACCAAGGAACAGGTCAGCGTCTGGTTCAAGTGGAGGGGGACTGGGGACTGTGAGGAGCACCCGCTACAGTGGGATCGGGATCCCTGCGCTCCTCGCTCCTCGAGCAGGGCCACGTGTCAGGTGGCCCGCCTGCCTCCTCCGCTTGAAGCAGCAGTCTCTGATTCCGGCTGCCACACGCAGGAGCCTTTTTCCAGAAGGGGAGGAGACTGGCAATGGAAAGATTAACCGCTCCTTGGGTTCCACACGGGGATCAGTATTTTCAATAGTACTTTGTGAGTTCAGCCTCAAAGTAAATGGTTAATTCATCTTATATCAACAGCACTGTGATTCATAATGTAAACTTGGAGAATTTTTGATGTTTCGGGCCCACATTCCTTTTAATTTGGCTCTGCATTCTTTTAAAGCCACAGTGTGCTCACTTAATAGAATGCAGCATGCAAATGCACAAGTTTTTGCCTGGAGGCATTTAGCCTGGCTGTTTCAATGGATGTCTTCTTTCAAGTGTATACTCTTTCTTAAATTATTTACTGGGTAAACACACTTTGCATTTTCAAAAGGGAGATTAAGACTGCTTGCTGCAGACCTAGTTGAACATCAAGGCCCCAGTTGCCCAAAGTTAGGAGGAAGTTTCTCGATCTCTCTAGCTGGAGTCCCTCTCCTGGCTTGTTTTTCGGATTCTCTCCAAACTGTTCCTTTCTGCTTTGCTCACGGCTGTAATTACTCTGGGCTTCGGTCACCAATGGGGCCACCACTTCCAACCTTTGCTTCCTCCCTCACAGCTGGCTCAGATGTGTCCTCTCAAGTGCCCTCACAGCTCACTTTTCTGGTCTTTCAGGAGGCCCAGCCCTTTCGAGGTCCAAAGCTGGGTTGATGACCGGCCAGTCATGCTCCCTTAACCACCCTCTCTGTTCCAACTCTCTCTGCCCCTCGGTCCCCCTTGTCCCCAGTATCTGGAATCCTTTCCCTGGGAAGAAACCTCCTCAGCAGCACACACCTGTGGTCCTAAGGACCAGGCCTTCTCCTGGGCTCAGGGAAAAGACCCAGTTGTCTCTGAGAAGGCGCCATGGTTACAGTCCCATCTGCGGAGCTGGTCGCACCATTTCCATGCAGTCGTCATTACATTTTCCTGCATATTGAATGAGCTCAGCTCCCTTCTCCACTGCCCTGGAATGATCATCATGATCACCAGGGGCAGCTTCCTTCCACCAGCATTCTTTGGACAGTTCTCTTTTGAATCCCTGAGTATCAACCACCATGTGGTGTGCTGAGGCTTCAGAGGTGAATTCTGCAGGTAGGTCCACAGAAGCAGCAGAGAGGGTGGTGACAGGAAGCCGGCAGTCCCTGTGGATGCACAAGCAGTGGAGAAGCCCAATTAGGAAGGCCAGGAGGAGCTGAGAAGTTAGGGATTGCTTTGTGTTCAGGTTCCTAACCATGCCTCAGATTAAACAAGTAGCACCCACAGTTAATCCTTTATAAATTAGCATCATGGATGCCTTGGGGCCCTCAACCCACAAATAAAATGGTTGTCAACCAAGCCGTACCAGAGACACTACTGTATATTACTTAAGGCAGAATTTAAAAAGAGTTTTCATGCTTTTAATCTGTTTCACTGCTGAGTTTCAATTTTGCTGATTTCCTTTGCAAGTCTGATGCGGGTGACGGTGGTAAATAGAGATTTTGACAGCAGCTCGGGCAAATGGGATGTGGAGGGACTGTTCTGAAGGCTTCTGTCCCTTCCAGAGAAAAGGGGGAAAAATCACTTTGAGTCTTAAATGAAGCCACCAAGTAGCGCCGATCAGTGTTCATAATTAGCCTCACTTCAATAAGTCGCAGAGCCCTGTTTTTATTTACTTATTTGGGGGACAGAGAATCTTCCCTCCTCGTGAGTAAACATGGCCTGTTAAGTCCGAATTAGCTGTCATCACAGAAGAATTAATGTCGGGGCGCAGACTTTCTTGTGGGGAAGGGAAGAAATGAGGGAGACAGATCTTAGCGAGCCTCGCGTGATAAATGAGGACAGAGCAGACCATTCATCTCCTGCGAGGAAAGCGGACAGAGGTACTAAGGCAGTTTTGCGGAAGACGTGTCAGCAAATGTGATCATTTTGTAACCTGTCAGGAGGAGTGGGAGCTGGTCCTGTTAGGGGCCACAAGGGAGCAGGTCGCTCTGATGTGACAGTTTCCATCCATCCGTTTAGATGTGGGGAGGCAGGGGGTGGTGAGCAGGACTCCTGCCCGTGCTCCAACCTGGGGTCATCCTTCTTCCAAGAAAAACCTCCAGATGCTAGAAAAGACTGCAGATGTCCTGCCAGGATTTCTTTGTGATGACACAAAGCAAGAGTAGGTCCCTTTCAGTTGGAGGCCTGGCCTGGTCCCACCACGGTCCTCCCTGCAGAGGACCCTTGTCCAGTGTCTGGCATCTGGAATGAGGCACAGCCCTCCTTCCCACCCCTGGAGCTGCGGGACTGCTGGGCAGAGTTGGCGTGGGGCTTCAAGCAGGGTGGGTGGCCCGCTAGACGGCTGCCACTCTGGGTTTCTATTTCTGTGTGGCTCTGTGCGAGCAAGCGTGGGCGAGGCTGGTTGACCTAGGTTCCCTTTGAAAGTCTCAACAAAGCATTCTGATGTGCGACCTCTTTTCTCCGAATGAGGTAACAAATTATGAAACAACCTCATCGGAAGCTCTCTGCAGGCTTGCGGGAGCCACGTCCTCGCTGCTCCTTCTGAGGTCAGCTCAGCAGGGCCAGACCGAGGCGGCTGACGATCCCTGGAGGTGAGGGCCACCCACAGACACTCGGCAGGCACCTCAAGGACTTTGTATTATTTTTCATTTCCGCCTCTGCTCGCTGTGGAGCCAACGTAAGGTTTCCTCCTGGCTCGATGGAGCGCGAGCCACGGTGACAGGTGCCTGTTTCACAGCCTCAGCTGCCGGTTTCACAGCCTCAGCTGCAAGTTTGACACTTGCTTCTTAATCCTGTCCTTTCTTGCTAAGTCTCTCTTTTCCTTTTCCCCAGGTATTTTTGCACAGGTAAGTGCCTTACTGACATATGTTTCCTTGGAATCTCTTCCTTTCACGAGAAACAGTGCAAAAAAAATGAGGCTTGTCTCACATTTTAAATTAAAAAGAGAAGCTCACCTGGGGCCCTTGATCACTTAAAGAGACTACATGGTTCTCGGAGCCTAGAAAGCCATTTGATTCGCGTTAACTTTGCCGTGTTTCTCAGAGTGCCGTGTGACAAGCGCTCTGGAGCTGTTCCTAGAACCAAAGCCGCCTGATCTCTCTCTGTCTCTCTCTGTCCTCCCTCTCTCTCTCTCTCTCTCTCTCTCTCACACACACACACACACACACACAGCCCCTGACCTGCGAGGCTGCGGTTTCATTAGCCAACTTGGTCTTTGACTGATGGTTGTCGGAATGCCCTCCATTCATCTGCCACGTTGTTTTTCTTTTCTTTCTCCCAGAATCATCCAGAACCGCATCCTGCTCGTCCTCCTGGGAATCATCGTGGTCGTCACCATCCTGACAGCGGTCACTTTTTTTGTCCGAGGACACTGATGTATCAGCTCTCCCTTGATAAACAGCAACCGAGGCTTGTTCTGAGTAATTAAGACAAAATGGTCACATGAATCATTCTTTTGCGCTGACAGGCCCTGGGTGACCCTCTCTCTCCCTCACCACTGTTCAGCTAAAGTGCAAAGAGTGTAAAAATATTTTCTATTCCTGTTTGCATGTGGGTTGGTTTCCTTTTCTAGATTTGTCTTCACCCAGATTTGCTTTTATAGGCAAAGGTGAATGTTTATTTGCCTTTGGGTAATGTCATCTGTTGTCCAAAATAGCCTTGGTGACATTCTTCCTTACCCTGCGGACATGTGAGGGGTCATGGTTTGGAAGAGGGTATGATGAGTCAGTCACGAGAGTTTCTGTCTGTCACGTATCTCTTGTCACCAAAAAGTCCTTCTATGATGTCCAAGGATAAAAATGCAAAGAAAACCAGGGGCCAGGGCCAGGGCCCAGCTCCTACAAGCCAGCCCTGTCCCTTCTCAGGCTTAATAAATACAGTCAACCTGCCTGAGCGCTTTTATTGCAAAGGAAGGTATTTAATGTCACTTGTACAGGAAATTGACTTAGCACTTTCCCTGTTTTTCTATTGCATAATTTTTTTAACCCAAGAATATTTTTGCTGAACCTGCCCAATATCCACTTTTCTCAACTTTGGTTACTAGCCACAAGAAATATTTCCCTGCCTTCCCCAAATCACACTTACCCCCAGAATTTGCTGGCAAAAGGAACCCTGGCACAGTATTTAATGGTGACCTCATCTTCCCTGACCCGTGTAAGCATCTCTGTATCCTTTCAGTTTTAATATCTGCTCTGCCAAAAGCAGCCCTCAAACATGCAAAAGGTCTGACAAGGTTCTCTCCACATCCATTCCAGTATGTAAAGAGAACATGAATATTTCAGTAAGAGCAAGAACATGACTGTCGGTGTGAAATTTCCAATGTGGTTATAAATCTGGGGGAGTCCTATAGGAGGATCCACTAGAAATAAACTTTGTGGAAAATGTTCACTAACCTCCTTTCAAAGAATGAGGGATTGCGGAGAGTTACAAAAGGACCACTTGGGTTTTTTACCAACAAATGTTAGTAAAGCCTTTCCTGAATTCACTGTATGCCAACCTCCAACATGCTCTGTGATTTTTCTTTCTCTCTGAGGTAACCGGGAATTGCGTTCAAAATGAGTTCATTTGTGATCGAGCTTAAAAGTTGCCCAAGCTGAGGTCATTTTCCCCCTAGTCATAAAGCAAAATGTGTTTTTCTTAAGACTTCATAGGCACTTATGGGGTCCCTACTATCTTTTGAATATAATTGGACGCTTTGAATCCTCGAAAAGCAAACCTGTTCTCCTCATAAAACATGCTAACCGCCTGTGCTCGTGGATCAAGATCATCCGAAGGCGGCACTTGATATTTTTCCCCAATTCGGAAGAGAGCTATTAGTTGGAGAGGAAATGCAGACTTCACAACCCACCAGAGGAATCGTATTTATCAAAACGGGCCAGGGCCTGCATGTGTTCGGATAAATCATTTAGTATTGTGTAAATAAAGCTGCAGCCTCCATGTCAGGGATGGGATGGGATTTTGGCTGAGCAAAGTAGGACAGCAAAGGAGCAGGAAGCTGTGCTGCTGTTCCTGTCAGTTCAAGGGACCCATCTCAGCGAGGATCTCTCATCCTGACATCCCAATTCTGGATGTTCCCAACACATGGAAGAAACTATTGAGAGCAAGGAAACACAACCCCTTCTCATTCTGGAACAGGGATCATTGGGAAGTGCACGGACCCTTTGGTGACTCCACTTGACCTTAGTGAAGGGCGTGACCTGTCTGAGCTGCGCCTCCGCCCCCACCCTTCACACTCCGTGCACCCTGGCCACAGCCACCTAGCGAGCAAGATTGAGCTGATGACCTCTACTCGCTGGCTCCTAGGTATTTCACTGAATCCCTGTGTTCCTGTTGAAGCAGATGAGAAAGAAGGAGCTCATTCCCTGCTCACTTCTCAATGTTTTTTCCCTACCATGTCCTATGTCTGTGATTTTGCCCCAGATCAATCTTGGGATTGATATAAACAGAGAACCCTCGACCTATTAGCTCCACCAAACCCCCTCCAGAGCAACCACCTAGACCAGGCCAGCGAGCGCTTGGTGAGGAAGCTGGTGAAGGTCCCTTGTGCCCATTCTTGGCCCTCCTGGATGCTGCAAGGGAGACTCAAAGGGCCCCAAGGGAGGCCAGGTGCATGCCCTCCCTCCTGCTGCACTGGGGAAGGAAGACAGTCCACACGTTTGAAGCAGGTCCTGGGTCTATGGAAGGTTCTAGGCACCTAATATGTAGACTGTGATTGTTGAATATTCCCAAAGTTGGCAGCCTTTGTTAAAAATGATGCTTGACGGGAGGGTGGAGGGGAGATGAAGATGAAGGTGTGGAGGAGGAAGAAGAGAAGGAAGCCCTGGCCATATAAAATTCATGCAGACTAAACAGTTTCCCTGGCAGAATAAATAAAGCGGATGCTACCCTGCTCCAGAATCAAAAGCAATTTAATTAAAGTCTCTTAAGTTGTAAAGAGTTTTAAATGTTCCGTGTTGAAGGCGAAAGCCTACAAATGCAGCCGGCTGACGTCAGCGGCCGGGCCTGGGCTGGGAGGCCATTTGCTATTCTGTTTCAGGCAGGCTGGATTGTCTTATTTTGGAACCAGCTTGGTGGGGGGTTTGCTTTGCTACTGCTTCTGAGCCCTGAGCTTCAAAGGCTGAAATTAATGGTGAACAAAATTGTGCGGCTCTGGCCGTCCCATGCGGGGCAGGCCCATTGAGGGTTATCATTAAGTAAAGAAATAAAGAGGGGGAAAAAGGCTGCCTGTTCCAAAAACCTCATCAGATAATGACCTCGGTGATTGGGTTTTCATTACCAAACAGCAACCAGAGATTACCAACCCAGTGGAAGAAGGGAGGGGGGGGAAGAAAGAAAGGAAAAGCCACTGTCTTTCTCTCCCTCTCTCTCTCCTTTTTTTTTTTTTCCCTGCACATCTTTTCTTTAAAACTGTCAGATCATTTCAGTATTTCAAATCCGAGGAAAACAGCCTGCCTGCTGCTGTATTTGAAGTTGTAATGGTGTCAAAAAGTCACGACTGACTGACAGCCGTCAGTCCCAGAGGGGCTCATTAAATCATAAAAACTTGACAAGGAAATAATTGCGCATCGCCAGCAACTTGGCGCCTGTTTAGACGTTTTTATTTTCTTTCATTATTAGTCCCCACATTACGTTCATTAACAAATTGCATTAAACAACTGTTAAGGGCTAATGATTTGTTTATCGCTTTTTTTATTATTATTATTTAAACATTAGCTGTGTCATGTGGTACCTCAGCAGCCTCTTGCCATCATCTGACTGAATATTTTTCCACTCCGAGCTCTGGGTACTGTTGGAATATGAAATAGATTATTCATTACTCTCCTCTTTGCCACTGATTTGGTTTCATGTAGCGTCTTCCACAGAGAAAGATGAAAACTTGTCAAAAATAGGTTATATCTTATTCGAAGGGGCAACAATAGCGGCAGGTCCAGGCACACTTTAATATTTAATTAAGGTTGATGTTAACCCCCTTTAAATGACTTTAGCTGTAAGTTATATTTAAATGCAGAAGAGAAAAATAATTGTTCTTAATTTGCAACCTGGTCAGCAGGCATTCTTCATGGAGTTAGCTGGAAATTTAGAGTAGAATTTTTAAATAATGAAATTTCCCATCATAAATATTTATGGCGGTTTGTCTACGTAGTTGAGAATTAACTACAAGCGATGATTTCCTTGTCTCTTTGGTGTGCACTGCTAGCCTAGCGGGCCACTCTGTGCTTGGGAGCCAGCGTGGCTTTCTTGGGAGAAACGTGTGCTTGGAGGGGAAGTCCAGCACCAAGGATGGCCGGCTGGTTGTGGCCAGCGCCAGTTTCAAAAGAACTGCTGTGAGTCCCGAGTCCGTGGGCCACTTGCCTTCCCCTTTAGCTGAGTGTGTGGTTGGAGGACTGTGGCCTACAGTGAGACCGAGTAGAGCGGTCTTACAGGAGGACTTGTGTGTGTTCCATGGCCCGCGCAGTGAGGCCGTGGTGGGGAGTCCTGGCGCCTCTGTCTAGTCAACCCGAGCTCATTACAAACACTGCTTCCCTAACAGGCACGGGAGCAGCACTTTGCAGGGATTGACCTTCCACCCTTTTTTCTTTCTGTGACTCACCCTTGCTGAACTGATTGGCTCTTCCATGGGCTGTGAGCTTGAGGGCCCAGAAGGGACAAAGCTCCATCACGGTCTCCGAAGCAGAAGGCAGTGGCAATTCTTCGTGCCGTAACTGCTAGCTTCCATGAGTTGACATCAAGCACAGAGCCAGTCGCAGAGGCCTGGTCCATGGGCACTTCAGGGTAGACTGCTCTGCTTGGGATCAGGGAATGCCTTTTCCCCATCCTATTTCTGATCACACTCTCCATCCCCAGAACCCTTAGGTGACTACATGAGGGGTGCATGTTCCTGCTCAGTACAGCGTCTCAGCACCACTCACCTGAGGACAGAGAGTCCTGCAGGAGCCCTGGGCCAGCCCAGCAGGCAGCAGCCAGGCGAGGCCTGATCTCTACAGAGACAGAAGGGGTGGACTTGCTGGGGTCTGGAGCACCTGGAAGCTCCATTTTAGCCCAGACCAATTAACCGCATGATGACCCACCTCCCTCAGGACGACCTCCACACTTTAGCAGAAACCGTTCTTCCAGAAGACAGGAGGCTCTCTGGTGAGCAGTCCCCAGTGACATAGACAGGAAAGTGCTGTGGAAAGACACTGAGAAGCTACCAGCTCCCTTGGGATCCAAGGTCAGTGGCAATGGGAACTTGTGCAGAGCCAGTTTACCAGGGACGGGTAGGGCAAAACCAAGATGGCAGGACAAATGGGGTGAGACCAGAGGGTACCAGGGGGTAGAAGGTGGCTGTAGGCTCATCCCAGTGAAGAGCCCAGAGGGAGGGGCCCAGGCAGGTTGGCCTCACCTTGTTGCACCTGAGCCCATCAGTGCCTTCCTGAGAAGAAGCCAGAGAAGGGGAATGACAGGGTCCCCACCCAGGTCACACACCACCCCTGTCTGCAGCTGCAGGAGCTCCTGAAGAGCTGTGGGGAAAGCACTTCCTCTTCCTGAATCGCCTCTTACTCCTGCTACATAAATAACGAAGGCAGCCCAGCGAGAGGGGGAGATGCGGGAAGCAGAGCTCTGGACTCTGATTCTGTGAACCCGTGCCCCCTCCTTCCCTCCATCCAAACAAGGCCCTTTGGCGTGAATAACAGCTCAGCGGCTCCGCAGCCGTATTGATCGGCTGGTGCCTGGGCTTTTCCTGGGGCCAGGACTGCTGGAGCCAGCCGCCCCACCCCTCCCCGCCCCCTGCAGGTGTGCTCAGGAGGGGACAGCACCGGGAAGGTGGGGGTGGGGGGAGCCAGGCCCTGCTCTGGCTCAGCACGGCTTCATTGCCGCAACTTTTTTGTTTTTAACTTATTTTGGCAGGAAAGGTACCCAAGTTAGAAATGTTTTTTCATGACGAGGCCCCACGGAGTTGAGAATGAACACAACCTCCGGCTGCAGTTTCTCTCCAGAAGATTCTGCCAAGGACCCAGGCCACAGAGGCATGGTCAGCTGACACTTCCAGGGGCCCTTCTGGGCACTCAGCTTTGGACTAAGCCCTTGGGCCTATCGTGCTGCAATTCCCAGTTATTTTCCCTGCCCTCCGCAATCAGGAGGGAGAGGGCCAAGCAAGTGGTGCAGCCATCACCTGGGGGGCTGGGGGACTGTTGCTGAATTCAGTGGAGAAGTACCTGCCATGGCCCATGACCAGCAGAGACTGCATCCTGCCACCCCATTCCCTAACTAATACTGACCCAACCGTCCCCTGCCCTCTCTGCATCTCTTCTGGACACAGGAAGTCATCAAGGCCTTAGCCCCTTGAGGGACACAGTCGTGAGGTCAGCAGGCCCCAGCACAGTGACACCTGAAATCTCACCCCTAAAGATCCATTCCTCTGGTTTCCAGTTTTTTTGTTTTGTTTTGTTTTTAGTACAGGGGATTGAACTCAGGGGCACTCAACCACTGAGCCACATCCCCAGACCTATTTTGTATTTTTTTTAAAGACAGGGTCTCACAGAGTTGCTTAGCACCTCGCCGTTGCTGAGGCCGACTTTGAACTCACAATTCTCTCGTCTCAGCCCCCCAAGCTGCTGGGATTACAGGCGTGCACCACTGAGCCCAGCTTAGTTTCTGGCTTTTAATGCTAGAGAAATGCAGGTTCATTTTTCCCTGGGCGGCTCCCATCCCACCAGCTGCAGATTTCTTTGGGTGAAACATCTGACCCTTCCTTGGGAGCTGATTATGAGTTTGGGGAAGGGGGGACCCACCACCTGAGGGAGCACTTGGTGGTTTCTGGGAGAAGCATCCTTGCTCCCTGGGACGAGCTCCCTGGAGGTTTCTGGGTCTCAGCGGCCTTAGGTAATGGAGGGTCACCGGGACCTTGCACTACAGGTCCACGTACCCCTGATCAGGCCCAGTTATTAAGGACTGTGCTGTGCCCAGGGCTGCATTTGGACAATCACAGGGTCAGAAAATGGGCTCTGCCAAGCAGCAGAGGTCCCCTGGGCAGGTCCCACCACAGTGTCCTTGTGGAGCAGGGTTGGGGGCAGGCAGGGAGGTCAGAGTGGAGATAGGCAGGTAACCCTGGGTCCTGCACATCATTCCCACTGAGCTGTTCCAGCCTTGTCGGGCCCCAGCCCTGCTGAGAGTGGGAAGCCCAAGGTCACTGTGCTACATAAATTGGCATTTGGGAAAGGCCCCAAACGGATTTTTTTATGCCCTGAACAGACCCTCCCACACTGTTCCCTCAAGTGTCTTGGTACAGGGGACATCCTGGTGAACAGAACCTCTCTCTGCTCTCTGCATCTCCTCTCATTCACCCCACCCCTCCTGGCTCCCACTTCCTCTGCATTTCTAAAAGGGGAAGGCATTAGAGTGAGGAGAACCAGGTGGCTTTAGTGAGCTCACCACAGTCCCTGATAAGACTTCGAAATCATCAGACCTTTCCCTAGTGGAGGAAAGGTGTATTCAGATTTATTCATCCAGTCAATAAATATTTACTGAGCATCTACTATGTTCCAGGCCCCAAGGACACACAACGAAGAAATTAAATAGGAAGTCAGAGGCTCGCTGCACTGGGGTGCGGAAGTCAGAAAGCCTTTTCACTCCTGGTGTCCTGACTTGCTTTCTGATCTTGGACAGGTCACTCTCGGTCTCAAAATCAGGTTGAGAGACCCTGCTTCTGCTGCCCTCCACAGCTGCCCCTGAGGTCAATACAAAGCCCTTTCCAGACACAGTGCTCAGTGTCCCTTTCTCTTTGCATTTCCCAGGACTGCCTTTGCAAAAGAGGATATGAATAGGGATGATAGCAGTGACGGTGGCCGTGAGTACATAGGTTCTCATCAGCACTGGCCCACACTCAGGACTGGCCCACGAGATGCCGAGGAACAGGGCTTTTTTTTTTTTTTCTTCTCCTTCTTGTTAAATGATAAAGGTCTGACTTGGCGGGCAATCAGAAGCCCAAAATATCATAAAAGGGAAAAAAGTTGCCGAGTGGCTAAGAGGTGCACCACGGGAGTGTCGCGCGGGGCGCAGCCGGCAAGGTGGATGCTGAGCAGCAAGCAGCGAGCAGGGAGGAAATGCAGCCAGAGACATTTTCAAAGGCTTTTCTCTCCTTCTTCTCCTCCCTGGTCCCCATACCAAAAGGGGAAATTGAAGCCAAATTCAGATCTGGGTGTGGGGCTGGTTTGTCCCACACACACCCTCCCCCAAGACGGTAGAGAAACTTTGATGTCTGAGCACGTGGCTTGGGAGCAGGGAGGAGCTGGGCATCCCAGCCATGCAGCCGCGTGCTGTCTCCGCTGGGCCTGTCTGAACCCCAGTGTGAGAGATGAGGCCCACGGGGCTGGCTGCAGCAGGGTTCTGAAATGGGGAAATGATCCCCGTCTTCCCAGCCACCCTGACAACAGTTCTCACGTGGGAGGAGCGCAAATGCACAGAACCCGGCGCAGGCAGGCACCAGGGGTCGGGTTGGTCAACTTACTTGTTTTCAGATAGAAAAATGGGCTCAGGGAGGGAACGAGGCTTGCCAAAGACCTCTCAGCAAATCGGTGACTCAGCCACCAGTGGACTCCAGGCCTTCAGCTCCAGGAAGCTTCTTCCCTCCCGCGCCCATTCTCCCAGCAACCCCAGGTCAGGGCACCCACCCTTCTCAGGCTTACAAGG